CATGTGAGGTAGTGAGACAGTCACTGTACTGACAGTACAGTTAATGGTTTCCAAATCATTTAACATTCACTTGCATATCTTGTTTTAATATGTTCTGACAGCTGATGATATGGAATATTGGTTAGACACACATATACTTAAAGGAGACATATTAGGAGAAATCTTCTTTTACAGTGTTTTTGAACATATATTTGGGTAGCCTGAGAGTCTACTGACCCACAAAATGTGAAATAAACCCATCCAGTCCTTTTTTTGTGGTCTGCGTAAGTCTTACAACACAGAGAACAGTGCTCCGTTTACAAATTTGCTCAACTTGTGATGTCCCAGTGGGATTCTGGTAGAAAAAATACCCTCCCCTTCCCTCCCCTGGTGATTAAATGTGATACCAAAATTAATTAAACCCAAAGGATGAATTTGGTGGCCTCCTGACAAGCACCATTATCATTACAGTTTTCATTTATTGAACTTTGGTTTATGACAAAGAACCCTCAATGCAGGTTTACCTTCAAATCAACTTCAGCTGTACTGCCTTGTTATGCAAGTCAGCAGTTTTAGATCAGTCTACCTGCTAAACATCCATCAGCACGTTATAGCTAGCATTGCTAAATACTTTATATTCTTCAGTAAAATGATGTGTTCCTTATTTCAAGTGACTGAGACTAAAGTGGCAAAGCTCAAGATCTGCAGAAAAAGTTCAATACATTTTTGAGTATATGACTCACTGTGACCTTTTGTTCTTGTGCTCGTGACAGGGAGCAGTGAGGTGGATGTCTTTTTGAACGTTGGCACTGGCAGACACTCAGGAGACAGCAGGAGGAAAGGTAGAGATGCAGTCTCTCAGGAGAGTGAGCCAATACAGCATGATATCGTCCCTCATGCCAATTACCGCTGTCACCCATCTGCTGTGAGCGCGCAGTGAAACATGGGATAAGTGACCTACTTTGTAACATTAGTGTGACTGCAGTGCCTCTCCATTCGTCGACAAACCAAGCGCTCCCTCCCCGAAGAGATGGAAACAGGGATGATATTAAAGGGAAACACACGGGTCAGACATGGATCCTCATCCCCAATTTGCCACAGATATTTCTAGAGGTATCTATCCTCAAAACTAGAAACACCATCCGCATAACACAAAGTAATCTGACAAATAATCAGTCCAAAATATGAATTCCTGCAGGTTTTAAGAAACAAACAAACAATCAAAAATCTTTGATTCCTAGACAAGGTGTGCAAGTAGGTGTTTGAATTTAAGGACTATAAAGGTTAGAAACTGATCCAAACTTCACAACAGGGTCCTAAGTCTCTGACTAGACTCTTCTCCTCTGTCGCCTCCGGTGGTGGAACAAACTTCAAAACTCCATTTCATCTGCAGAGTCCCTTTGCACCTTTAAGAAAAAGCTGAAGTCCCAGCTCTTTCATAAATACTACGCACTTGAGGATAATGATGATGACAACGACGATGGTTTTGTTTGGTCATGATCATTTTAGGATGGTTTGATGCCGATTAGAACTCTCGAAAATGTGTTTTAAAGGAGGGGTTCGCACATCCAACCATCTCATGAAGTAGGACACCAGTCTACTATTCCTCGGCTTTACCAATTTATTGTTTAAAATCACAGCGTTTTGGTCCCTCTGAAACTTTATCAAGTGTGTTCCACTGAACACATCAGTGATGCCGAGCAAGAGTAATGTGCATGATTTTTTCATTTAAATGTGACGTTTTTATCACAAAAGAAAGAGTACTAATTGTGCATGATGGGCCCTGTCATCCTTGTGTTCTAAAATAGTCCCAATGCATTAACTTATCATTAATATTGGTAATGGAAATCATACAGTCTATCTGACCTGTATGATCTCAAATTCAACAAATAGAGTAGAACTTGGTGATACATTTTCTACACCAATATTGTACTAGACAACATGAAACATTCACCTTTCATCCCCTTTTTGGATGCTCCTGTGCATAAGATGCAAAAAAAAAAAAAGGGTGAGCGTACAGCTACCTCTGTGTAGCACTCTCATGCTGCAGACCACAGCTGTGTGTTCACCAATCCAAGGGCATGATATCTTTCAATGTCCCCACCATCTATCGAAAGATGTTTGTGCAAAAAAGCAAACAGCATTAATCTTCATGATGAGGAGAGCAGATAAGCACGGCATTTTCATTTGTTTTAAGACGATGGATGGAGTGTGTATCTAATCTTTCTCTTTGTCCTCTAACAAGCATTTTTTGTTTTTCTGAAAAAAAGCCACACACACACACACACACACACACACACACACACACACACACTAATCCCAGCTAGTACTCATGTAATTGATCAGGGTTATTGGTGTCTGCTTTTTTGGGGGGTTTTTCTTCAATGGGTAACATGGTGTGTGTGTGTGTGTGTGTGTGTGTGTGTGTGTGTGTGTGTGTGTGTTTTGTGTGTGTCAGCTCAGCAGTGCTTCATTCGCTTGAAGCCAGAGATGGGGAGGGAGTGAGTGACTCAGCAGGGTGATTCACTTGTAATTGGTGGCAGTGCTTCGAGAGCACACACATGCACACACACACTTATTTCCTTCGGGTGTGTGCCCTTGTCAGAAGTGAGCGAATGATTGAGTGAGCCTGATCATTAAGAAGTGCTGCCTGCTAAAGTGGAGGAGATGGAGGAAGAGGTGAGAGGAGAAATCACAGTATCTGGACTTGGAGAGATCAATTGAACAAAACAGAGAAAGAACAAATAAGGAGTCTTTGCAACATAATGTATGAGGTGTCCAGTTTGTGCAAAACATACATACTTTTGTTCCTTAACGGTGTACATAAAGCAGCACCTGGTAACATGTGGAGCAGCGGGTTGGATTTGACTCATGACATCATGTGAAATTCACAGCGTGAATGAATGGCCCCGCTCTGTGACAGCTGGAGGCGGCAGTTTATTGAGTAAGCGGAGGTTTGTGAGTCATGCCTTGGGACTTCCATTCAGAGAAAGTGAAATGTTTATGATCTCTGAGGCAGTCTAATTGATTTTTTTTATCAATTGTCAGTTTGTATGATTAAACAACCAGCTTCCAACAAAAAAGAACTCATGACACTTTATATAAGGAGCAGGCCTAGTCCATGCTATATTTGATTTTTTTTAGATTGTTTTTTTGGGCTTCTCTGTGCCTTTATTGTAGAGACAGGATAGAGTCAGAAATCAGGGGGAGAACGAGACTGGGGAATGACATGCGGGAAAGGAGCCACAGTTTCAAAACCTGGGTCGCCGGCTCGAAAGACTATAGCCTCCTCACATAGGGGGCGCACACACTAACCACTGGGCTGCCGGCACCCCAGTCAAGGCTATTTGCTATATAATTTAAAGTGACCCAACTGAATCCACCATGAGTAAGCACCTTGCAACAGTGTCAAGAAAAAAACCCTCTAACTAGACACTTTGAGCAGAAGCAGACTCATCGGTAGAACACCAATCTGGACACAAGACTGGCGGGGCCTAGAAAGTGTGATAGAGAGAAGAAAGAGTGAGAACAATCGAGACTTTACAGACTCGTTGTTATGAGCCCAATAATAATAGTAAAAATATGTCTCATCTTATAACAACTAATAATGATAATGGCAGTATGCAAGATGAACAACAAAAGAAAAGATGTAAATTTAGGAGGATGCATTAATAGGACATGAATTCATACAAACAGATCGAAATAAAGATAGAGGAGTATACGAGAGTGAGCTGTAACCAGTCAACTACAGCATTATCCTCTGCCATGCATGAAATAGACTTTCTGGGTTGAATGAAAATGTCGGCTGCATTTTTCCTCGTTTTAAGTATTGCTTTCTGGACAAAATCATATTTTTCACAAGGGGCATATTTCTGTGTGAAGGCAGCCAGCTGAAATAAAAAGCTTGCTTTGTTTTGACTCTACAGCCTCCCAAATGTCTCATCCCTGCAGGAAAAAAAAACCTCAGAACCTTTTTCAGCCGCACTGATCTCCTGTCAGATGGTCATTTTTACAGTCAGCTATGCAGGCTGGCTGCTTTAAGAGAGGAACGCTGCTTCAATGGAAAGGTTGTTCCATGTATATAGAGGGGGTCAGCTGGCCCGAGGTTGTGAGGACAGGTTCGGTCCAATAATAGATTTCTGTCTTTGCTTGTGAGTGAGACACCATATGCTGTGCGGCCAAGACCATGAAACAGTGTCTTCAAAAAGAGAGCAGGGAGGAATGACGTAATTTCAAATCAAGCCAGTTCATTAATAATAATGGCTCTGTCCATGGTGCTGGAATAAGCAATTCATAATTTTACAGCTGAATCACAAGGAGAACTTGTGATACATGCTTCTGTATTTATGTTTTAATATTTGAAATGCCATGTAGGCCTACATATCTTTAAAAAAAGTCTAAATTGTAATCATGTCAAATGTATTTTTTATTTTTATTTTCGTAATTCTCGTCAGATGCTTATGATAAGTAGATCCTTAATATAGAAGATTTTCAAGATTTTTAAGGGGTTACTTCTCTTGTTAATGCAATCTGTTTCTTCTTTTTGTTTCAGATACTTTAAAAGGGACACTCCTACAATATAGATATGAATTGACTGTAAAGGAGTCACAAGCAACAGATTGGAAAAAAGAAGAAGTTAAAATTAGGCAAATTTTGGGTCACATTTCACCTCGGTGCACATTAAACTTCTCTAGAGGCTAACGATGCATTTCCCACAGATTTCCTATAGAAGAGTCTCCAAACTTCAAAACCTCCCAGCGTTGCTGCTTCACTGCTGTTATTTCATCTCTCTCCTCTTGGTGTCACTCTTGCTCCTCAACCTCTCTGAGTCCCCCACCTCACACACACACACACACACACACACACACACACACACACACACACACACACACACACACACACACACGCACACACACACACGCACGCACGCACGCACACACACACACACAACGCACGCGCGCGCGCTTCAAACCCGGATGGATGACTTCACCATCCTGCCTGGGTTTCCTTTATGATCCCGGGATCTCCCACTTTCCTCAGCAGACATCAGCCAGCTACACAGGCGAACACAGCTCTCTGATTCACACACATACACACGCGAGCTGTCTCTACCTGCCGCTGCAACACAAACCAGAGACCACAACAACAACACTGGGACTTCAGACTTCCTGCGCCCCCTGATCCGCATCGAGTTTTACACACAAAAACGGATCCAAGCAGGAGACAACCGCTGCAGCCTGCACCTCTAACGCGGATCTACGGCTGCATTAAGCTTAAAGCGGTTTAAGGAATCCTTTAACCTTTTAACCTTCGCTGGTGACCCTACTCTGCCCGTGCCACAATGTCCGAGGTGCTGCCATACAACGAGGGGAAGATGAGCGGCTACGGAGCGGACAGCGAGGTCAGCCAGATGTCCTTTAGCTGCGGACTGCAGGACACAAGCGCCTTTTTCGGCGCGTCGCAGGCGAAAAGACCCCCGAAGCTTGGACAGATCGGCAGAGCCAAGCGAGGTAAAGAATGGTTAAATAGAGGATCCACACTTAAGAATGCTGTCACTAACTTTGTTACACGATCAGAATGATTAATGTGACAGAAAATGACAACGTGAATATGTTGAGTCTACAGTGTACTCCTTTTTTTTTTAGAGAGAGTTTACTGTAATATTGAAAATAGAATTTCTTTAAGTTCAGGTAAACATCTCTAATATGCTATAGAAGTGTGTGAAAATGCACCAAACACTGAATGCATCACTATGCACGCCAGTCTGTGGTCGACGACACCCAGACTGTTTACATTTATGCACGAGTGACACATTATCTCTTCATGCACGGACACACCCCATCAAATAATAGGGTTTAATTGTGAGGATAAAAGCCTGACTCGTGGCCATTATCGGAAATGAGTTGGGTTTTTTTTGCACAAAGTGCGCGTACTCGATATCAGGGATTTGCAACAGTGCTGTAATTTATTTATTTATTCACCTGATACCGCACTACATTTCTTTTTCTAGTGCGCCATATTCCCCTCTACTATAGGCCATTAGTCTGAAGCCATTGTGGACAGAAATCATGACCTATGATGAGACACAATGCATTGATTATTTCACAGGATGTTGTAAAAAAATCTAAGCTGTCCTGGTGTCAGTAAACATTCTCCTTTTCCCCACTTTTCTCCCCAACAGTGGTGATCGAGGACGACCGAATAGACGAGGTCCTGAAGGGGATGACAGACAAGTCTTCACCCGGTGTTTAAACATGAACGATGCCTTGCAGACTTTTTAATTTTGATCACCGATTTGAAGCACTTGCCGGCTGTGCATGTTCGAGGATTGCGGGAGAAAACGACGGCACGAAGCGAGGTTGGCTTGACTCAAAGGTAGACGGGAAGAAAAGGGCAAATGAGGGGAAATGGAGAAGGCTAAAGGAAGAAAAATGAGGAAAGAAGATGGTGAAGAAAGAGAGAGAAAGACTCTGGAAAAGACAAAGAATTATCATGGGGATTGCTGGCAATTCTCCAAACGAATCCCGATTTTAAACTAGTGCTGCGCAGCACGATGTTGAGATGGCGGACCCTGCTCTGTGTCTCAGCCTCTGCTGACTTTAAAGATGGATGAACTTGTCATTACTTCACCACCATCTCTTTTTTCCAAACGCGCTGTAAGCAACAAAACACTGCAACTGGAGGCTGAAGCTAAAAATCCCAGTCCTATTTCAATAAGTTGTACAGTAGGTAGAGTGAGCTCTCAGACGCCCCCCCCCCTTTAGGCTCTGCTTTGTTGATTCAGTCGGCGACGGTGCATTCAAAGGAGCTGTCCTTTCAGCACTGGTCCAATGCATTCCTGTTACTGCTAACGCTTTTGAAAAACAGACCAACCAAACTCTCCAGTCTGCTAAATAGAGGAGATCTATTGTATGTAAAAACATATATCCGGGGGATGGTGCAATGTTAATATTTTCTTTAGTAGAGCCCTTTTTGTTCCTGGCCCTTTAAAGAGCATTAGGCCACAGTTTAAAACTGAACCAACACGGGCTACAATCTTCTTCTGCAATTACCCATAAGTGGTCAAAGGTGTAGGATGGCACCTCCATGTAGCTGATTTACACGGCACATATCTTTAATTTCTTCTCTTTTTTTGGTTTGCATTTGTCAAAATGCTCAGATATCTACAGAGGCCAGCAGAGATGTGGAGATTATACTCAATGTTTAAAATAGTAGTCATGAAATTGATGGGAAAAAAAATAATAATTTGGTTTTATTGATTTAGCTATTATTCGTGTTTTGTCCTCGATGAGTTTTTTCTCCATCTATTTGCATGAACTTTCACTCCGGTGCCAAGGTAGGTGCCACTACTCTTACCCTGGCACGCTTCTTTTTAACAAAAGTCATATTTGTATTTTTATATCTAAATATTTGTTATTTAAATGATATGCTAGTCTATCGTCTTACAGTTCATCAACAAAAATATTTCTACTTCAGAGCGGATATTCAGAATGAGACTGGGCTTCATGGATGGGAATCTGAGATTTAGGTGGACTGGTCTCGTTCTATATCAGAGGTTGAGTTTTTTAAAAGACTTACTGAATGTGTCTGGGGTTTTTGCACACATCAATGTTAAACTATTATTAAGAAATCGTATACTGTGACTTGAGCTTCGTTGATGAATTTGTTAGAAAATCGCAGTTTTAGAGTATATTGCACTGTTTACGAGTATCCTCAAATAACACGTCGTTATTTGACCGATTTTGGACATTATAGTTTTTTTTCTGTTTGTTTTTTTTTATTTTGTTTATTTTGTACCATTATTTTAAAGAAACTGGATATGGTTTGTTGTGCATGAAACCTTAATATTTTCAATAATGAAACATCGTTTTATGAAGCAAAAAAGCAACAAAAATGTCATGACATTCTAAGAATGAGTCATTGTATATTATGATGCCATTTTCACTGTATTTGGTGAATTAATAAATGGTGAAAGAAAATGTTAATTTGGCTCGTTGGTTTGGCTTTTGTCTCAAGGAATCTTGATTTAAGATAAACCTTAAAGAAGCCTGGGCTGGTTCTTTCTGTAAAAGCACCTCAGCATTTAAGAAAGAAAACATACATGTAGCTGCAGCATTGGAAAGCAAAGGACCTCTCATTTCTTTGTAGCCGTTAGACTTAGTATGAGCTCAGTAGCAGTAAATTCTGATCCTTAATTAAAGACTAGGGCAGGAACAGTGATCCATCTGTTAAGCTGTTAAACAACTCCATGCTGGCCTACAGTGAATCTATTCAAGTACAGAGCCTGAGGAAGCCACTACTGGCCACATGATCATCTATCACAGTCTACATGTGCAATGTCCTCATACAGCAGCTCACACACTAAGACTACAGCAGGCCTGGATGGTGCACCAACTGTGACGCACCAAGAAAAACCCACATCATTCACTAGTAGCTCTTAAATCATCATGGTCTGTAGTTTATTACAGTGTTTCCCATCATTTCTGGTCCAATGAATGAACACAATCCTATCAGAAATGATTCAGAACCTTTTCATTTCAGCATGTGGGTTGGATTGGGGTAGTCTTGTCCAACAGCATTGGACAGAAGAGAGAATACCCTGGCTTTGGTGGATGCCTGGATACATATGTACAGTGCACTGGATGATAATCACCTCTAAACAGTTCCATAAATTGTCATGTTAGAACTGCAAATTAAATTAAATTATAGTGAGGTTGTTTGCAATAAACCAACACAACATTGTGCGTATATTTGAATCGGAAAGAGAGGACAATAAAATGGTATTTGTGTTAATTATAAATGCTTTGCTGTAAAACCCTTTACTCAGATCAGATGCAACCAATTGTCCTCAGTTTAAGTTGTGCCTTTTTTTTACCCTTCATTAATATTCATCCAACTATAAAAAGCCCAAATAAGTATGTTTGAATAACAAGTTAAAAAAGAGTGTAAAATGTTTAGAAGTCCCAGGGCACTGTTAATCGATGGAAGTCATAAATGGCCTGTTATCTATGATAAAGCTTTTTGTCTTCAGTACTGTGTCAAGTTTACATTTAAACAACGCCCATTTGGAGTGGGAGAAAATTACACTGAAACTATTTATCCTCTACTTTTAGATATATGCTAGCAAGTGCCCGCATACAGTACTCTACCGAATCTCAACTATCTGTATGAAAGGTGATTCAGAGAGACAGAAAACCTACAATGAGCTAACTCAAGAATAACTACAGAATGTGATGTTAATTTTTTCTTTGTTTAATTATTTATTTCTAAGTATGAACTTAGCCACTTAATTCTTGGAGAACCTGCTGAGGCTTAAGTACCCTGCATGGATCTAGCACTGGTATATTACGAACAGATCTGTTAAATCAGGAGAAACTGTCAGATCATAAAAAGTTAAAAAAATATATTTTTTGCTAGCAGTGTCAATCGGGAAATTTTGTCAGCTGATATCACCTGTTTTACTCACGACGCGCACAAACCTGCACAATGATAACAGTTAAATAAAAATGCATTTTCTTGTAATAACACTAAAGAACTTTCCTTGAAATCCTCCTGCAGATATGACATATTGTCACCATCATTGTTTACCATTTGGAAAGACATCCATGGTTTCTATAAAAAGCTACATGGGCATGAACACAGATCTGCTTTTCACTTTAAAAACAACAACAACAACAACAGAGTGTGATCAGTGGAGCTGACCACATTCCCATCCACCAGATTATTGACTGTCCTGATAACATCAGCTCTGCACTGAATGAACACGTAGTGCTATCGATCAGGTTGTTGTTGTGGGTGTGTGCGCTTGTGAGTGCATGCGTGTAAGTGTTCATGGATAATTACACTTTTCAAAATAATGGGCAGCCCTAGATGGCCGGAACAGGATGGACATATTTGGGCAAATATTGAACGGTGTTAGCTCTGCTCCACCTCTCTCTCCCCCTGTCATGTTTGTGACTGTAGATGTGATTTTGACAGTAAAACAGACGGGTGGCACTTCTGCTCTTCCTGCAGTGTTACAAAGATTTGTGATAACGTGTTAGAGTAGTGATTAGTGTTTAAATCATTTTGCATTTCTGACTCAAGAATCCCGCTGATTATTCTTATATCAAAATAATATATTTATCCTTAAATCATAATCAGGACAAGAACAATTGCTTTAGATTATATATGGCTTAACAATTGACAACGGTAACATAGTGCGTTCTGAGACAGGGTCAAATGATCTCAACTTGGAACTAATGTTTCATGATATCAGTGATATGATATGTGGGAAGATCGGAGAAGTACTAAGTAATTGCATAATGAATAAAGAACAGTTATAGGTACTCAGATTAACATCCTTAAACTTCAATGTGTAACTGACAAATGTTCCGTCACTTTGTAACACTTCATTGAAAATTTCATTTTTTTGTTGATGTTGCTAAATTCAAACTTTACTGATCTAATTTGATCCATGGAGCTTCAGGTGCTGATTTATTTTTTAATCCACTTTTACAACAACCTTAAAAAACACGTTTGTCAACTATGATCATAGCTGTACTGAAACAGTTGAATTAATTTACAATGACTTTCTAAACCTCTAGATGAAAATATATTTTCTTTACTGCTCAAAAAATGTTTGGTGGATTTCCGTTGATGCAACCATGTTTAATTTACATGAAACGCTACGGCCAAAGATTGTTAAGCCTGTTATCAGCGAGTCTGGCTCTCCTTGAGTTGACACCTATGGTGCGACATGCAGCAGCAGCAGCAGCAGCAGCAGCAGCACCTCTACAGTTCAATAGTTTACGAAAAGATATGTTTTTGTTTAATAAAATATTACGAAAAAAAGAATACAGAACAATTATATTACACATTGTTCTGTTTGGGAAAATGGCGGCTATAAATGACAAATAAATACATATATATCATTAACGTATTAACATATATTATATAACACTGAAGTTTGATTTGATCAGCACAGCTCAGTATGACACTTTTATCTGAGTGTTGTGAGCTCTGGCCATTTGTATAACGTTGAGGTCAAGTTGGGTTTATGAAAACAGAGTTATTGTTAATGGTCAAACTGCTACATTTCCATCAGGCTCAGGGAAGCTAGAGAATTATTATAATCCACTGATTTGATGAAGGTTAGAGCAACCAGTCTGTCTGCTGGTTAAGGGTCAGATGTCAGGTGACTGTTAGCTTAGGTCTCTGAGGCTCCTGTTCTGACCCAGCTGATGGTCTGAGGGTTCAGACTGTTACAGGACCAAGAGAGAAAAGGGTTTAGAAGACCCCTAAAGCACAGCCATTATGGAATGTATGTGTATGTCGATGTATGAGTATGTTGATGTATGTTGATGTATGTGTTTGTATGGTATGGTTTCTGCACAGAAAGAGTGAAACACAAGCATGCTTCATGGCAGACACACAGACGTAGGTGTGTAAAACAAACACAAGGCTAAAGCCACTGTACATGTTAAGTGCCATTGTTCTGTTTCCTCTTCTGTTGTCTTTAAACACACACACATTGACAGCTAACACAAACCCTCTGTTGATGGGTCAAGCTGAACATGTGCAGTGAGGACAAACAGCTTTGATCTGATTCAACTTTTGCCCCATCCTAAGTGGACATCCATTAATATTCCTCCACAGTTACATAAGCCTGACATACAGTATATTATGCCATTATGCTGCCCCAAGGGAGACAGGACGATATACAGAGCTGCTGAAAGCAGTGCAGAGCTTTCTCTTAGTCTTTGCTACAACTGGTGCACACTGGTTTAAAACACACAAAGAGATGTTGATTCCCCCATCCTGTCTATGCTGGTCTATCGCAACTGACTGTAGGTTAATGGTTTACTCTATCTTGGGTCTACATTTGAGACTTTGTATTATAATTGATTACAATAAAGTTGAATAAATCAAAGTGATTGCTGAGATAAACATATTCAGCAGCATTGCTACATCCAGCCTTTTCATGCTGAAATTTAAAGAACTGGGAAGACTCATTTGCTAACAAGCACATCATTTAGTATAGGGATTATTTTTTGAGTCATAGAAGAAAATATAGTCTAAAGAAAAAAAAAAAGTTTTTCTTTTTAACCCATCCAATCAGTCACATCATAAAACTCAGACCCAATCCCAACTAAACTTTACCCAATTCTAACCAAGCTGCTTAAGGAAAACTTTCCCTTAGTTGCCCATGATGGTTTATGTTGGATCTCTGTAGATAATTCTAAATACATCTTTGTAGAATGATTTGAGTTATTAACTCAATACCAGATATGATCAATGTGTCCTTATTCACAGGCTCATGTACCAAAGTCATTGAATACTTTCCTTTTTGATAAAGCGAATAGTAAGGACTTTATCTCTTTTTCTCTTACATCTGTTCACAATTTAATCTGTCTCCATCTGTAAATATCTAGGCATCTAGGTTATTAATCATATGTTTTCTCTGGATCATTTGTGTGGACGGCCTGCTGCTGTGGATCTGTTTGACTCCAAGTGCTACTAACTCTTAATATCAGCCTTATATCTATTATCATTATAATAAATGTTAATGTGAATCTTAGAGCTGCTCCCTATGCTTCAACTTCTGTAATTAAAATGATCAGTCCTCCAAGTTCCATAGTCATTATAGTTGCTAATGTTAATATTAGAATGATAAGTCTATTATCATACATTGTTGTTCCAGCTAATACTTTGCCATTATTACTGGTGCTGTAGCTATTAATCTGTTTTATTCATTGTTGCTTTGTTTGTCTCTTTTTATTTCTCTCTGCATTTCCCCCATCGCTTTCCAAGCCTAACAGTTTCGGCAGATGGCTGTGAAATAAATCCATCCAGTCCTTTGTTTGTGGTCTGCATAAGTCTTACAACACAGCGAAAAATGCTCTGTTTCAAATTTGCTCTCCTTGTGACATCACAGTGGGACTCTGGTAAAACAATCCCCTACCCTCCCCTGGTATCTCCACTGATGGACTCCACCCCCAGCCTAGAGCAAAACTTTTGCGTACGTCCGCCATTTTTATCCCCGCTACAGAGGAGTGATGTCTACCAAGAAAACTCCGGGGGGCTCATTGCATTTAAAGAGACACACACCAAAACGGAGCGTTCTGAGATAGCTGGTTTATACAGGGTCACAAACCTCCTCTGGTGCTTGATTCACAGGGGACTTGTTTTAAAAGGTGGAAAAGGGGTATAATATGTCCTCTTCAAATCGAGTGCTGTGAGTCATATAAAATGTCCAGTATATCAATCTTGCAAATCCATATGTTGGTGTCCATGTTAACAAGGGAAAAGTGTTGGAAACTTTGCAAAGATAGAGCAGGTCCAGTTCAGTACTAGCCTATTCATTTAGCTAAAATCATGTCAGGGCGTCTTCATTGGGAAAAAAGGAAACTATCTCTTCCTTTAAACAAAAGTTATTCAATCAAAATCTCCTTTCAAATCGACTGATGTTAACCACAGGCAGTTTGGGTTAAGTTTGACTTACCTGGAGTTTCTTTACAGCTTATATATCGTCTTACTGCTCAAGATTCTTGCCTGGTTGGACCATAGACTGTAGGACTTGCTTTAGGTATATATGAAGTTATCTAGGTTAGTAAAGTATTTGAATAACTATTTGATAAAACTACACATGGGATCTTGGTTGAATAATTAGAGTTTCCTTTTAAGAAACAGGGAGGACAATTTGAGAGCATTAGCAGTAAGTAAACTATAGGAAGAGCAATGGGGTACAAAACTGCTGATGTGCTGTCAGGATTCAGTGTGAATACAAAGTAACACAATGTGGAAAATAAAACCCAGAGATGTTTGTTAAGTAGGCTATGCAGTTGACCTTTTGACTTGCACAAGTCCTCACATAACACCCACACACGCAGCTCTCAGGGCCGATCGATGCAGACACAGAGGACAGTGGTGCTGCTGGTGGAGAGAAGAGTGCCTAAGAGTAAAAGAGAAACAGAAACACTGAGGCAGACTTAGAAAGGCATCGAGCATGCAGTACATTAGTGTTGTCGCTGCCCTTGGGCGACAGAGCATGGAGGATGATTAGCAGCAGGAGAGAAAACTCTGGCTCTTGCTATCTCATACATACATAAATACACACTATATTAAATCATGGCCTCAGACAGACACCTGGATGACTCAGGTGAGCAGCTGAGGAAACCAAAAAAAACTGCACATAAGACGGAAAAAGGTTTTGCTTAAGAGAAAAATGATGACTAAATCTCTCCTGCATGAGGCCTGTGCCCTGCTCTGTGGTTATGTAACTTAAGTCCAGTCAAGTTAAATCTAACTGCTGGGGTGTCTGCCATTGCACATCAGTCAGTCCAGCTAAGAGAGCAAAAAAACAAAAGTGAGGACTGCAGAATTTCAATCTATTTAAATGTTGACAGGGAGGAAATGGCTGTTAGACAAGCCTAACTGAAGAAAAGAGGGTAGAAAAGAATGATGTTCGGAGGATGATGATAAGAGAATAAAAGCTGAAATAATGTCTCGACAAGCATGCTCTACTTTCCTTTGCAAGGCAGAGTTGTCCGGTTATCATGTAGGCTCATCAAAAACAGCATCCTGAACATTTGAAAAGTGGTCAGTTTGAAACATAAAAGTCAGCAAGCGATAACTTAACTAACCAAGTCATGGGCTCAAGACGAGTCAAGTCTCAATTGGCTAGCTAGCTAACTACTGTACTGCTAAAGAATAGCAGTGTCAACAGAATCCATCCTACAGAAAAGCTGTTCATATAAACGTGATAATCTACTGAAAAGACCTCTCGTGGGCACAACTTTTTTTTGCCAACAACAATGGATTTATCAAGTTACACAAGCGTTAAAAAGAAAGAAGAGCTTTCTGAAAGATTGCTCACGTTTTTTTCAAGTCTTAAAAATAGGCGGTAATTAGATCTCTGTGGAGAATTAAAAATAAATGATTTCTACTTTATCAACGTGGTCCCCCACCACACACACCCCACCACCCTCCAGTCATCAGCCTTCCTGCCTGTCTGCAGGCCTCGCTGTCTCTCTGGTCTATATTTAAGCAGCAGAGACCACAGGACCTGAGACTCATCTCATGTGTTTCCTCAACAAATAACACGCAGAGTGAGCTATCACTTGAATGATCGTGTGTGTACACACCCAGTGTTCGTGCTCGACAGCTGTGTCAAACACTGTGAATCTGCATTAGCAGCTTTTGTCAGGAATCCAAAGCAGGCATGGCGCAGTCCCCCAAAAGAAGGGGGGACTATGACTGACATATTAATAAGCTTTAACACTGATTTTACATGCAGGCTGGTGCTGCTCTTATGTACTGTGTCTAGACATGCCAGTTTGTCTTGCTAATGTGTAACACTTGCAGGCTTGTCCTGCACTACAGAATCAGACTGTTGAATCTATGTGAAGAAAAGACAGAACAGTTAAAGACTGTGAGATGTAAAATTGCTTTATAAAAGATGAAGGATTCAATTATGAACCGCACAAGAACAGAAGCTGATAGAAGCAGCCTCAGAATATAACAACATAGACAGAGGAAAAAGTTCAATGATGATTCTTGACTTGAGTTCATATCAGTCCATAATGAAGGCAATCAAGCTGACAGTATAAAAATACAATAAAAACAAATCACCAACAGGGAAAGACTTCATTGGAAAATACTTTTAAGTAACCTTTAACTATTCCTGGCATGAAGGTCTATTTCTAACCCAATTGTTTAAAAAGTTAATAATAAAAGTTAAGTGTATAAAAAAAGCTAATAATAAAAGTTAGAGGAATGGTAGTGGTCATACAAGAATTCTGTGTTGTTTTGGTGAGACGTTTGTAGGGCCTTTATCATGGGTCAAACTTACTTGTTAATCTTTGGGTACATGTTTTTTTTTTACAACTCATTCAAATAATTGAGTTAATCTACAAGTCTATATTAGACATGAAGTCTTCCTCATCCTCATGTTGATATGTGGAGACCCTTGTAGGTTGGCCTTTACTTTCTTCAAGTAGCTTTTTCTCCAGAGCTGCATCTTCAGGGCTGAGCTCCTCTCCTTTGGTCATAACATAAACAAAATACTCCAGGCCTTCTCCATAACTGTACTTCTTGATAGACCAGTTATAATCAGTTTTAGCATAGAGACGTTTCCTAAAGAAGGGATCGGCAAAGGTGACCGAGACAAAGCGTCCTCCAGGCTTCAAACAGCGACTGATCTGGGAAAACAAAAACAGAGAAGATGAACGTTATTAGAAATGAGTACCAAAACATCCTCTACTAACGGTTTCCTTCATAGTGTCTTCAATCTTCACTGAGATCTTTTCTATGTTTGATAACTGAATATGAAAAGCTGGACTTTTACGCAATAATTAACTCAAAAATGCTGATCAGGCACATTTGATTCATTTCATATTTTCACATCATATAAACATTGCAGAGGAAACAGAAATACATATTGAATGCAATTATTTTTGTATAGATTCTTGCAGGTTGTAAAGGGATCTACATGCTAAAACTACATGGTTGAATTACTCAGGTGCCTTGTTGCCAGTTTGGTAAACATGATATTGCAGGTCCTTCCGGAGAACAAGCATGAGGACTCAGATAATCATATACATTGTAAACAAAGTCCCAGGTTGATATAATTCATTTAGAAGACATAGCTTTGGGGTTTGTTTACAACCATCTTTATCTTATTACTGTTTTTTTTGCCATCCACATGTGATAATTACATTACAATGGCATCATAAGGGAAAATTAGATCTACAAAAATAATTTGTTTTCAACTCATACTTCCTTTAAGAAAACTTTTAGGTTTGATGCAGTCCTCAAAAAGAAAGTTGTAAAAACTATAAAAACTGAATTATTTGTTAAGAGATCGTGCAATGCGACTTCACCTATGTCACAGAAGAACACTGTCAAATATCAATTTCCCTCAAATTGGCATTTTTCCAATCCTGCACATGCATTGCCTCTCTGTTAGCCAAGAGTTAGCGGCAAGCTGTAAGTCCACAGTGCTGGCTGCTCAGCCAAGTGGACTGATAACACAGTGTGACGGCACCAAAAACCATGAGGGTCTCTCCATATGAATAATTGTTATTCTAGGTCCATCAACACTACAGTGTGTTGGTGCTTGGAGTGAGAAACACGTGTGCATCAGGACACAGTAAGCTTCAGAGGACTGCAGAGCTCAGGCAAACAAGAGTACACACACACACACAAATAGACACAAACACAAGCGTGCAGAGGCACAGAGTTAGGCTTGGAGTTTCTCCAGAGACAGAAGTGTGTGTGGGAGTGAAAGGACACAAACTGCAGAACACTGAGCTATGGGCAACAAACTTTTAGTATTTCAAGCAACAAACATGTAAACGAGGTCAACATATTGCTTTATTGCAGGCACACAGCAGATTGAAACACAACAAGCGAGCATAAAACCAGCTGTTAAGTATCGATTTATTTTAAAAGTTGTGCACTGAAGGCTTTGACTTGATGTCGATTTAAATCCCCAATCTGGTGACCCTACATCATTCTGCTCTAAGGAGAAAACTAACTCATTGGGTTGTTTGTACATCTTTAAATCATTTTCAATGAAGCTGTTTGGCGTTAAGCCCAGGATGAAACAATAGTGCCATGACAAAATAGTGTTGGGAGGGAACTTGTTCTTGGGCAACCATTAGCATAATCTAATGAAATCATGGCATCATTTTGCTCATCGTACCCTAGAGGTGGTGCCTGCCGGTACCACAGGCAGTCTATTAGCTGAAAGCGGCTGGTGCGGGGATGAGCTAGTTTAGTCCGGTGTCACCGTTGCATGCTGTTACTTTTCGAAAACGATGTGACAAATAAATTGAGAATGAATGCAATATATGAGCCAATCAGCTAATGTCTGACTATGATACAGCCTTTGGGAGCAATGGATCATTTTTCAGGGCTTCCTGTGTAGCCAGTGGTGTGTGATAAAGGAGTTCCTTCTTTACTGTGCGCTGCCTTGGAGCAGAGTAGCAGTTTGAATGGAGTTGGAGCTGAGAGAGGACTTCTAGGAGCAGCTTGTTTGCTACATTTGCACACAGTTGTCTGCTCATAGACATAAAGTAAAATCAATGCCTGAAAGGAAGCCAGGATTTCATTACGGCCTATGTGCTCCACGTCTTTTGCCCTCCACACGGACTGTTTTCCTGCTAATAATCAAATCCCTATAAAAGGCTGCTACTTCTCATACAACAAACAGAACGCTTCCCACTCCAAAACCCTGTTATTTGCCTACAGATTGTGCATGTGTCTACATGTTAGAGATGATCCAACATGTAGAGACACGTAGTTAACCACTGTCCTTACAACGTTGTAATGTACGTTTATACACATATGCCTCTCATATCGTTAAGCCATACAATGAAAGAACCCAAATCGTTCTCAGAGCTTGCCATGTTGAGCTTGCAGGTTTCTAGTTTAGAGGTTATTGTTGTCTCACACTACTTCTGGAGCTTTGAACACAAATGACCTGTGCCCTCACTTAAACCTTTAAAATACTCTATAAGGCTAAAAGATATATATAACAAACAAAAAAAAAAAAACGATTGCAGGAAAGCCTGCAGCAAATGAGCTAACAAAGGATGTTCTTTGAATCATTGTGTCAGCAGCCAATAATGCTGCACTTACAAGTGCACATTAGCAGACAGACAAAAGGTGAGACCTCAGATTATTGTGATCATGACGACATGCAGAACATGTGGCTCAGAAACCAAGGAGACGGACCATTTCAGGCTTTCAAAAGAACAGTACATTACAGCTTACAGTGTTCCTACTGTAGCTATGGCTTAAGGCTAACATAAGCTAGTATTTAGAAGTACACTTTGAAAATACGAAACAAAGACAGACGCTGTTGGCAAGGTTACAAAACCGTACAGTACCATAACTAAAGGTTGCCTATCTGTTGTTGCAGAGTGGACTATTTCAGATTTATATATATATATATATATATATATATATATAAATAATATATACATATATAAATCACTGGATTATATTTTAACTGATTCATACTGTGTACATCCTTGTATGAAGCTGGTAAATATGGAGCTATAATGTAATACATTATGTTACTATATGATGCTTTGTTGTTATAATAACCAGATAAAGCTGTTATTAAATCCATGGACAGAAAAGTTTAATGGTAAATAGTCAATGGACTTCAGCTTGAATAGCACTTTTCTAGTCTTCTGACTACTCAAAGCTCTTTTTCTCGGCATGTCACATCTACTCATTCACAACTATTCACACTAACTAATCTTATTCATGAACATTCACACGCCGCCACCGACGAAACAGTGGGAGCAATTCAGGGTTAAGTGTCTTGCCCAAGGACACATCGGACATGTTGCTGCAGGAGGGATCGAACCCCCAACCTGAGACAACTAACTACCAAGTGAGCCACAGCCGACCCCAAAATGTAGTGAAGTAAAAGGATCAAAAAATATAAAACTGAAGTAAAGTTAGCTTTGGACCAAGGTTACAGAACTTCACTTTAACAGTTAAGACTTACCTGAGACTCTTCACAAATATAAAGAACATCATTTATAATCTCTAAAATTGAGTTAAACAATCATTTCAACAGGTAAGGACTAGTGAGGTATCACAATTGAGTAAACTCATGTACTGATGAAGACCTGTGAGATAGAGTTGAAAGCTCTGGAGACAGCGAGTAGGTGACCCTCCTGTTAGACGGTTTGTGTTTCAATTTAACAGAGCAGTCAACACCACATGGACATTTACTGCTCCAAGTGAATGATTTCCTGATACAAACATGTCAAATCAGTTCTAGAGACATCATTTATGAGATAATTATGACACTTGAACGTCGCACACTGTAGATGCAGTGTATAAATATAGAGTGAGAAGCTCATACAAGGTCTCTCCATGGGGATGCTCCATGCCTGGCCTTTGAAGGCAGAGCTCACGTGTGGCTGTCAGAAAGAGGGGATGATCCTGTCATGTATCCAGGGTAAAGTAGTAGTGGTGGTCTCTAAAGTGAGCTGTGGAGGAGCACAGTGGCTCCCGCCGATGCTGTCTCGACTTCTTTGGAGAGAAGAGTCGCTCTGAGACGAGCACGTGTATGCTGCTCGGCTCACATGATTCAACTCCACCAGCAAGCAGCCCAGACATGAATTATTCACTCTCTTCTGTGACATGGAGCAAAAGCGAGAGCTAGGTGGAGGGGTCTCTGAATATGGGATAAAATGAGTAATTCAATGCACAGAAATAGGAGATAAAAGGGTGGAGTGATGTGCAAGAGGGAGCTCTTAACCAAAACATGGCGGAGAGGCCATTTACAGGATAGTGGATTTCATTTGATTTTTTAAACCTTGATTTTTCACATTTAAGAGGTGGTCCAGATATTTTAGCCTTTTCCTAACAAAACGAATGTCCTGTACACAGAAAACAACATATTTATTCCTTAATTGCAGTTTTTATGAAGAGACATATGACACAGCACAACCTCTGGTGTACCTTCTCTCAAAAACTGTGAGCTTTACTTGTTATACCCTGCTAGCCAGAGGCAAGAAACAAATGTTAGACACATCAGCTGAAAGATATAAACGACAGCTCTTCAGATGTTTTATGTCGTTTCGGTTTTACTTTTGAAAATGACTACTACCTTTATCCATCTAACTTGACTAAATTAAGATACAAGGTTAACCCTACCTTTTATCTGACCATCAAGTGCTGAACCTTTTGTTGTCTTATTGACCTCCTAATGTGAAAAAAAAAAGAAAGAATCAGAAATACCACAGTGAGGGGCGCTGATGAGCTAGAGGGTAGTTACCGCGCCCCATGTACAGAGACTATAGTCCTCAAAGCTGGCCGCCTTGGTTTAACTTTGACTTGTGGTCAAATTATGGGTTTACAGATATTACATTCTCCAACAAATCCGTCTGTCTGCCCGATGCTACTGTGCAGGTTGAGTAGGGTTGCATATGAAGCTTTTTCTGCTGAAAATTGCTGGACTGAATAAGACTTTAATATACAGAAAACATAGATTAAAGATGCTAATACACTCTGCAGATACTAGGGTTGATTCTGTTTAACTGTAGTTCAACTACAGTAAGTGACCTATTCACATACGAAAGGGTTCTTATTTTTGTCAGTGCCAGAAATAAATGTGGTTTAATACTAATGATAAAAGTAGACAACTTCATATCCCTTTTTCTGAGAGACA